TTTCTTTTTTCTTGGCCAAGTTAGTCATAGCAGCGTTGATATTGTAGGAAGAAGTGGCGAGCGTAACAGGCACCTGCTGCTGTAACAGCGCGAAAAGCGCCTGGAGCTGCTGCGCAGTCAAAGCGGGGGTGGCGGCGGGTGGGGCGAGCTCCTCGGCAAGCACGTGCCGAACGGTGGGGCCCGCCTGGGCGTCGGGCGGCGCGGCGCGGCTCGGCGTGTGGACCTCGGTTGACTGCACGCGCTGCTGCTTGGCAGTCGCGCGTGTTTCTTCTGGGGTGGCGTGAGTTGCGCCAAGCAGAACATCGACACCCGAGGTCCCCTCGCCAAAATTGTCCTTAGCAGGGCGTTTTTGGCGACGGTCGGTTACCCGGTCCGAAGTTCCGAGATCACCGATATTTGCGGGGGTGTTCGCCTCGCGAGTTGGTGCAGAATTGGCGTGAGTCATTGCCGATAGGTTATGCTGCAAAATGTCGGTTAGTAATGTCGATGGTGCCCTGAAGCGTGGAAGTGACTGAGTTTTCGCCAGGTTGGACGAGAACAAAAAACAAGAACTAGGAACTCAAATGAGGGAAACTCAAATGAGTTGAACTAGAAATGAAGAACGCGGGTAAGGCCGAGAGGCCTCACGTTCCTCTTTTGAATGCAAAAGAGGGTTAGGTGCGCTTCGCCGCTGCCTTTGCTGCGTTGGCCCTTGCTACACTATCACAATACACATTTTTAGAAAGCGCTACACGCTTTCAAAAAAAAAAAAAAAAAAAAAATTGAAAGCGTGTAACGCTTTATAAAAATGTGTATTGTGAAAGTGCAGCGAGGCCCAACGCAGCAAGGACAGCGTCGAAGCGCTACTCACTCTCTTTTGCCTACAAAAGAGGGACGTGAGGCCATTCGACCTCACCCACGTTCTTCATTTCTAGTTCCAGTTTCGTTTTCCAGTTCTCGTCCTAGTTCTAGTCTCCTTGTTCTCGCCCAAGCTGGCGAAAACCCAGTCTCTTCCGCGCTTCAAAGCCCCGACAACGCTCCTCACCGACATTCTGCAGCACAATATCGCCACGATGACTTCCACCAATTCTGCTCCGGCTGGCGCGGCGAACAACATTTCTACCCCCACTAACGCCCAGGCGATCGGAACTTCGCCCGGGGGAACCGACTGTCGTCAGAAACGTCCTACTGAGGACAATTTCGGCGAGGGCCCCTCGGCAGTCCAGATCCTGCTCGGCGGCACTCACGCTGCTCCAGAAGAAACTCGCGCGGCTGCAAAGCAGCCGTGCGTGCAGTCAACTGAAGACCACGCGCCACCCCGAGGCGCGTCGCCTGCAGGCCAGGCGGGCCTCACCACCCAGCACGCACCTGCCGCTGACCCCACGCCAACCGCCGCCGCCCCCGCCTTGACTGCGCACCAGCTGCAAGCGCTTTTGGCGCTGTTACAGCAGCAAGCTCCTGCTGTTACAGTCGGAACCTCATCCGATAATGCTGCGCCTACGATCAATTTTAACAAAACGAAAGAAATGGCTCCCTATCCTCGTGCGCCCAAGGCTCCCCGCGCCGACGATCAGCCCCCGGCACCAACTCCCGCACCCACTGACAACCCCGATGACAGCGACGACTCCGAAAATGACGACGGTGAGGGCCCCGCCAACATTGCTCGTCGTCGCATCCTTGCACCCGCCCCCCCTCTCCCCCCCCTTGGCCCCACGCCCGCAGCTACTACCTTCATGCGCAAGGGCGTACGCGACCAGGCTGAGGTCTTCACTGCCATCGAAGCGTACCTGAAGCATATCGACTTCAAGCTGCAGCACGGCGACGTCGTCGGCGCACTCAACAACGGAAAGGATATCGAAATACTTGATAATAAGCGTTTCCAAGTCCTTCTCGTTGCGGACGAAGCCGGTTTCGAGGCCGCCGACCGGTTCCAGCTTTATCAGTCCAAAAGTGTCCTCACATCCCGCTCCTACAAGCTGGCGGTCGCGAATGTGGCAGCGCTCAAGCGTGCACGCCTCGGCTACACGCGCGGCAGCCGTCCCGGTGGTCGCGACACTGACTCGGACATCAAGGGCTCCCCCCCTGCTATGTGCCAGCAGCCGCGCTTCAAAGGAGTCTGCTTTCGCTGCGGCCAGCCAGGCCACATGGCCAATGCATGCCACATGGGCGGGCGTGGTGCGCAAGGTCCCTCACCGGTGGTGTGAGCGGTTGATAGGGCGGCGCCCTTTTTCCCACATGCAAGAGGCATAGTGGGTTGCACGGCGGGTGCATGGCCGGTGGCCAGCCCTTCGCCAAAGGCAAGGGTCTTCGCTGACTAGGGTAGCCCTTGGAGGCAGCAAAGGCTGATAGGCCTAGGCTTGTAATAATTCCTATGATTGAATGAAAGGCTCGATGGTTTATGGCCATCTGTTTTTTACAACAACAACAACAAAAAAAAAAAAAAAAAAAAAAAAAAAAAAAACCTGATGGGGTAGGGGGTAGGAAGGGGGCGACAAAACCCAGTCAGCATGGCTGAACAGCCTTGAGCGTGGCCCATGACCCCTCACTTTTTATTTGCCAGCCATGCAACACGCCTCGAGAGCTAAGCATGGAGGCACGCCCGACGCCCTACAAATGATGTGCACGCACGCACTTGGAGATTAATCAGAGACAATGACAGAGTCCGGGCGCTAAAGCTTGCATAAGGAGTGGCCCAAACAAGGAGAGCAGAAGAAAAGAAAAGGAGGAAGAAGTCAACCACCAATAAGCACGCACACGCTTAATAAAGTCACGAACGGACATAGCATGTGATGCCTTCGCACGCAAAGGAAAGAGAGTGAGAGAGAGAGAGAGAGAGAGAGAGAGAGAGAGAGAGAGAGAGAGAGAGAGAGAGAGAGAGAGAGGAGGAGGGAGGAGAGAGAGAGAGAGAGGAGAGAGGAGAGAGAGAGGAGAGAGAGAGAGAGAGAGAGAGAGAGAGAGAGAGAGAGAGAGAGAGAGAGAGAGAAAGAGAGAGAGAAGAAAGAGAGAGAGAGAGGAGAGGAGAGAGAGAGAGAGAGAGAGAGAGAGAGAGAGGGAGAGAGAGAGAGAAGAGAGAGAAGAAAAAGAGAGAGAGAGAGAGGAGAGAGAGAGAGAGAGAGAGAGAGAGAGAGAGAGAGAGAGAGAGAGAGAGAGAGGAGAGAGAGAAGGAGAGAAGAAGAAGAGAGAGAGAAGAGAGAGAGAGAAGAGAGAGAGAGAGAGAGAGAAGAGAGAGAGAGAAATTAAGAGAGAGAGAGAGAGAGAGAGAGAGAGAGAGAGAGAGAGAGAGAGAGAGAGAGAGAGAGAGAGAGAGAGAGAGCAAGAGAGAAAGAGATAGAGAGAGAGAGAGCAACAGAGAAAGAGAAGGGAGATAGAGAGACGATGACCCCTTGCACATTGCAAGCACCTGACACGGCAGTGGCGGTGCGATCCGAGCATGTCATGCCCCGTTTACACTGCCCCGCATCGTGCACCCGTTCACGAGCACAGTATCCCACCCCCATCTACCAACCCGTGTTTATAACCTCTTATATGGCAGAGATCCCGAGTGGGTGGCCACAAGAGGAACGCGATCCATACGAGCTCGCAATTACAGACAAGGACGTTACCATCATGCGCAGTCGACTGCGGCATGCCTTGCACTGGTGGTGCTCCTGGTGCGACAGTAGCTTTGTCCTCTCCATCATCGCAAAAGGGTATTGGCTGCCCTGGAAGAATGCAGCCCCCACACCCTTCGAGGAAAACAACCATGCCGGAGTCTACACGCACCTCGACCTTACTCGCGACACAATTCGCGATCTCATAGTCACTGGCGCTGCCGCAGCGATCGAGAAGAGGGACACAGTAACATGTGTCAGCCCGCTGAACGTCGTGGAGCAGCGCGACAAATGCCGCCTTATCCTTGACCTGCGGAAAGTGAACACTCACCTTGAAGCCCCTAAGTTCAAGTACGAAGGTCTGAATCGTGTAGCCGAGCTCATCCGCCGAGATGACTGGATGTTCTCCATCGACCTGAAATCCGGATACCATCACGTCGAGATTCACCCCTCTTGCTGGAAGTTTTTGGGCTTCCAGTTCGAAGGCATCTACTACTCCTTTCGGTCTCTGCCGTTCGGCCTTGCAATTGCTCCATTCGTCTTCACCCAACTAATCAAACAACTTGCCAAGCGATGGTGGGCAAGCGGCGTTCGAGTGGTCCCGTATGTCGACGACCTATTATTTCTCTGCGATTCCCACCAGCAAGCGTGCTCGACTCGTACGACAGTCCTCCATGACCTTAAAGCAGCTGGTTTTGTCATTAACGGAAAAAAATCGCACCTTCACCCTTCGCGTCAGCTTCGCTTCCTCGGCTTGGAAATCGATTCCACCCGCGGCACGTTCTCCGTCGGACTCGAGCGAAGGGCACAACTCTTAACCACACTCGAGGCCTTGATAACCCAAGGACACTCAGGAAGGCCTATTCCCGTTCGCTCCCTCGCAAGAGTGACAGGCATGCTCGCCTCTATGGCCCTAGCACTGGGCGCGACTGCACGAGCATTCAGCCACGAACTCCTGCGACTTATTGCCGACGCAACGTCATGGCACTCCAAGGTCCTCTTGCACCCGGCAGCGGTGAACGAGCTACGTTTTTGGCTGGTGCAATTCGACAAATTTAACGGCGCCCCATTTCATCTCAGTCACCAGTTCGACGCCGTCATCCACGTGGACGCAAGCGCCCACAGTTGGGGCGCCATCCTCACGCCACTCCCTGGGATCCCAATAGAAGCAAGCTCCCGCATGCCAGAAGACCTCCTACACACTTCCAGCACCCGAAGGGAACTCGAGGGTGTAATGTGGGGACTCATAACCTTTGTCACCCACATCTCCAAACGGCATGTGTTAGTTCGTGTGGACAACCAGGGGGTTGTATTCATACTGCGCAAAGGCGGCTCCAGCATCCCTGCACTCACACTACTTTGCCAGGCGATCATCGACCTTTGCTTAAAGAATCGGATACGCCTGGCCATCGAATGGATTCCCCGGGACGCGCACGCCGACGAACTCTCCAAACTCCAGGACCGAGATGATTACTCACTCAAATCCCTATGGTTCCGACTCCTCAACCGCCGCCTGGGGCCGCACTCTGTCGACCTATTCGCGAACGTTAACAACGCTCAACTGAGGCGCTTCTGCTCCAAGATTCCTCACCCCAAGGCCACAGCGGTTGACGCCTTCTCATTCAGCTGGCATGATAAACGAGGCTTCGCGTTTCCCCCTCCCCACCTCATCCCGGCTACTCTGCGCCACGCCCAACGCACCCACGCCGAGTTGACGCTGGTCATCCCTGAATGGCCAGGAGCCTCTTGGTGGCCCCTACTGCAGCCAGCACCACAAACCTGGGCACCAGAAGTAAAGGCACATATTCCCCTCACTCAAGGCAGCCAATGCCTATCCCCAGGCACACACTCACTCGCCTTTGCTGGTCTCGGTTTCCCCAATAGCCCGATCATCGCGTTGCATGTGACATATAAAATATAACCCCACCATGTCTGGCGCTCTTTGTATTACAGGCTTATTATCAAACCTACAGACACAGCTACTTCAGGTAATCACCCATGTCCGCGCGCCATCTACCATAAGGACCTACGACCCGTATTGGCTCAAGTTCCGCTCCTTTTGCACAAAGGTCAAGCTGAGCTACCTGCCTGCCACAGACACCACTCTAGCGCTCTACCTTGTCTACGCCCTCAACAATCAGGCCACAATATCCCCCATATCCCTTACGTGCTCCGCCGTCGCATTTGCACACCGGATGACCGGAGAACCCTCTCCCACCAGCGGGCCCTTCACTTCACAAGTTCGTGAATTCTCCAAACGACACGGCTCGTGCACCACCAGGATAAAGGAACCCTTGTCGCTCCACCAGGTGCACGCCATGGCACACCCCTTCCTTGAGTCAAGCAGCCCGGCAGAATATCATACTGGACTGATCCCACTCCTCATGTTCGCGGCATTCCTCCGCTAGTGGAACGACATCCAGTTTGACGAGGAGTCTATGGGGATCCTAATCCCGCACTCCAAGACGGATCAGGACGGCAAGGGCTCATGGATCCCAGTTGCTCCCACTACCGGACCTTACTGCCCAGTCCGTTGCACCCAACGGTTTCTGCAACTTGCGGGACACCCCACCACCCCGCATGGACCATTGATCCGTGTCTTTGGCACCAGCGGCAGGGCAACCCCTCAAGACAGCGCTCCGTCTTACACAACCATCCGAAACTGGTGCCTCGAAGCCTTCGCCAAGGCTGGGCTCGACAACAGACACCTCGGCACCCACTCTTTCCGCAAGGGCGCCGCAACTGCGGCAGCTAACTTGGGGATCCCCGACCGGCTCTTCAAACGACTCGGTCGCTGGCGCAGCGATACGGCCAAAGATCTCTACGTCACCATTGCGCACGACCAGCTCCTTGCGGCGTCCACGCGCATCCAAGACGCTTCCGCCGCTCCATCGCCCAGTCATCACCAGTTGTCTATCGAGCGACATCGCCAGCCCCTGCTACACATGCCTCAGAAGACCCATATGAAATGAAGCACGCTGCCTTTGCCAAGATGACCAAAGCAAGCTTTCACAATATGTATTTTTTTCAAAGCGTGTAACGCTTTATAAAAATGTGTATTGTGAAAGTGCAGCGAGGGCCAACGCAGCAAGGACAGCGTTGAAGCGCTACTCCTCACCCTCTTTTGCCTACTAAAGAGGGACGTGAGGCCATTCGACCTCACCCACGTTCTTCATTTCTACTTCCAGTTTCGTTTTCCCCACCCACCCACCCTATTTGTAGGTGGTCTATTGGACGAGAACCATGTAGGCAATCCCATATGAAATGAAGCATGCTGCCTTAGCCAAGATGACCAAAGCAAGCTTTCACAATATTACATTTGGTGCATACTCTTAGAAGGTACAACCCCTTGGACATACCCGACCAGTTTGCATCATTCTAGTCATTCACTCTCACTTTCACATGACTGTAGACACGAAGTTGGTTCCTAAGTCCCCGGAACGCGCATTTCGACACTTGTACCGCACCGAACCGCGCGTGCTGGATCCAACTTCGCTGGATCCAGCTCTGTAGGAATATGTGTCAAACATGTGTAGTTATCATGTTTGTATAGACTGTATAGGGTCACCTTCTAGAGAGTACAACATTTAGGTATATGTTTGTGTACTCTCTCTCTCTTATTATTAATTCTAGGTTTGATATGGTATCACGAGTAGGTTTCGACCCCCCCCCCCCCCCCCCCACCGCTTCCGCTCCTCCCGTCGCGTCTCCTAGCCTCGCCTCGCCCCTCCTGAGCCCAGTCGCGACCCCTCCCCCTAGCCCCGTCGCGCCCCTTCCAGGGCCTCGTAGCGCCCCTCCAGGCCCCGTCGCGCCCCCCCCCCCCTTCCAGGGCTTCGTAACGCCCCTCCAGGCCCCCGTCGCGCCCCTCCAGGGCTCTGTAGCGCCCCTCCAGGGCCCCGTCGCGCCCCCTAGCGCCCCTCCTGGGCCCCGTAGCGCCCCTCCAGGGCCCCGTCGCGCCCCTTCGCGCCCCTCCTGGGCCCCGTAGCGCCCCTCCAGGGCCCCGTCGCGCCCCTTAGCGCCCCTCCTGGGCCCCGTCGCGCTCCTCACAGGCCCCGTAGCGCCCCGTAGCGCCCCTCCTGGGCCTCGTCGCGCCCCTCCTGGGTTTCGTAGCGCCCCTCCTGGGCTTCGTAACGCCCCTCCCAGGCCCCGTCGCGCCCCTCCTGGGCTCCGTAGCGCCCCTACTGGGACCCGTCGCGCCCTCCTTGGGCCCTGTAGCGCCCCTCCTGGGCCCCGTCGTGCCCCTCCCAGGCCCCGTCGCGCCCCTCCTAGGCCCGTAGTGCCCCTCCTGGGCCCGTAGCGCCCCTCCTGGGCCCCCCCATTGCGCCCCTCCTGAGCCCCGCCGCGCCCCTCCTGGGCCCCCATTGCGCCCCTCCTGGGCCCGTAGCGCCCCTCCTGGGCCTGTTGCGCCCCTCCTGGGCCCTGCCGCGCCTCCTCCCTGGGCCCCGTATCCACCCTCCTGGGCCCCGTCGCCCCTGCTCGGCCACGTCGCCCCTGCTCGGCCCCGTCGCCCCAGCTCGGCCCTGTCGCAGCCTCTCGGCCCCCGTGGCCGCCGCCCTGCCCCTGTCGCAGCTGCCCGGCCCCTGTCGCACCTGCCCGGCCCCGTCGCGCCCGCCCGGCCCCGTCGCCCCCGCCCGGCCCTGCTGTGTCCTGCCCGGCCCCGTCGCTGCCGCCCGGCCCTGTCGCTGCCGCCCGGCCTCGTAGCTGCCGCCCGGCCCTGTCGCTGCCGCCCGGCCTCGTAGCTGCCGCCCGGCCTTGTCGCTGCCGCCCGGCCCCGTCGCAGCCGCCCGGCCCCGTCGCAGCCGCCCGGCCCCGTCGCAGCCGCCCGGCCCCGTCCCAGCCGCCCGGCCCCGTCGCTGCCGCCCGGCCCCGTCACAGCCGCCCGGCCCCTCGTCGCGCCTGCCCGGCCCCGTCGCGCCTGCCCGGCCCCGTCGCGCCTGCCCGGCCTCGATGTGCCTGCCCGGCCCCGTCGCGCCTGCCCGGCCCCGTCGCGCCTGCCCCGGCCCTCCATACTTCCTGGTACTGTCCCCCGTTCCCCGCACTACTTTGCACCCTCCTGCACTTTCCTGCCCCGCCTTGCACCGCATTGCACCTCACTGAACCGCACTGACCGCACTGCACCGCACTGGACCGCACTGCACCGCACTGCATCGCACTCCACTGTCCTCCCACTGCCCCTCATGGCTGCTGAGCTTCGTTTTGATGCTGAGGGTCAGCCTCTGGAGTTCGAGGCAGTGGTTGGCTGACTTCGCCGCCACCTCACTGGTCACCGGCAGGACGGCCACCCGCTTTCTGCACACCTAGACGGTATGCTCCCCTGCCCTGACCCCCCTGCTGTGCTGCCCGCTGATCCCACGCCCGCTGAGCGCGAGTCCACTGCCGCCGCTGCCCTTGCCCGCTCTGTCTGGCTTTCCCGCGATGCCCTTGCTCAGCTCGCCATTAGCAATGCCCTCCCCCCCCTTGAGCGCCCTCGCTTTAGAACCATTTCTACCGCCCAGGCCTACCTCGATGCTGTCATCAAGCGCTATTCTACCCCTCCTGCTTCCTCAGTGGGTCGCCTGATCCTCCCCCTGCTCTTTCCTGACCTGGCGTCCTTCCCCACTGTCTCTGACCTCGCTGCCCACCTGCGCTCGATAGATGAGGCCTGGCGCGCTGCCTGCAACTGATGCACAGCTTAGAGTCCACCAGCCTCCCATGACCTCTACCCTCTACCTCCTTGCCACCCGCCTCCCTGACCGCCTTGCCGCCGCCCGCGACCAGTTCCTTAGCATCCACCCTGCTGCTCTCACCCTCACCGACTTTGTTGACACCCTGACTGCCATAGAGACTCGTCACCGCTCCATAGCCCAGGCGAGCGGTACAGTACCGGTCCCTATCTTTCAGGGTTGTGCCCCCGCTCAGTGTACCTTCTCCGACGGCTCTGTCGCTGTGGCTGAGACTGCTGCTGCAGTGCAGTCCCGCTCGGGGAAGGGCCGCCGCCCCAAGGTTGGGAGCGGCGGAGGTGGCGGGGTGCGGGTGGGGTAGTGGTGGAGGCGGGTCGTCCGGTGCCGGTGCGGACGTGGGGACCCTGCCCGGTCCAGCTGCCCCGCTGCCTCCACCGTTGCAGCAGCCGCAGCAGCAGCAGCCTCCGCAGCAGCCCAGCAGCCGCCGCAGACGAGGCCGGCGAGTGCTCTCCCGCCTGGGTGGCCTGGAGCTGGTGGTGGTCGTGCGCGTGGTGGTGCACCGGGTGGTGGTTCTGGAGGCGGGCCCTGTCAGTACCAGATCCAGACCGGTCCTCGCCGCGGCTTCGTTTGCGGTAAGATCGGTCATTCCACTCCTCGCTGTTTTCGTCGTCTGGACGACCTGTTCCGCCAGCGCTTTGGCCCGGCGCCCGACCTCCCGGACTGGCACAGCTTGCTTAGGCGTAGCATTCGGATTTTTGACTTGGGACATGG